TTCGTTATATCAAGGAATTCGTTATATCGAGGTTCGTTATATCAAGGTTAGACTGTACAACTTGATACACACAGAATCTCCGGTTCCCGACCTGGATGATGGCTAGATATTTAATTTAATTTACAGCTACTTATTATTGTACTGCGATCAATCAAATCCGTTATGTAAGCCACGCGGTTATCAATCCCACTTGGTTTTGGATATGAATACAAACGTGATCGGAAATGGTTACACAGTACCACTGTAATGTAATCGTAAACAAAATTTTTAATGTAAACATATCAGTGACAGCTAGAAACAAGTATCTTGATCCAAACAGCTGTTTGTAGTTTTATAGATGACGTATTCTTTTAACAGATGATTATCGCGAATGGGATTTTCCCATTTTTGACCCTAAAAAGATAAAATTTAGCAACTTCTTTCCGAACCATTTTGTAGAACTTAAAAAAATAAATAGTATATTGAAGTATAATTGTTGTATGCCTAATGGTTACGGAGAAAATTCAAAAAAGTGTAAATTTAAAATTCCCAAGTTATTCTTATGGAGAAAATTAAAACTGTTGTAGTTATACTTGTTTATGGCATATATGTTGTTAAAATTAGGCAAATTTATTTAAATAATCCTATACTATTGACGTTTGGTAAAAACACATTTTTGACTTCCCTGTAGCAGCAAACCTAAGCACTCGTTAAATCTAATGTTATTTAAATTGGGAATAAATATGTCTTATTTATGGAAACGTTTTAGTAAAAATGTAATGAAACAAATTGAAATTAGCTTAGTCTTCAGGTTTGCTGCAGCGGGGGTATCTTTATTCAATATATAACATACATAAATAAAGTCAAAATCTCTATAACCCATGGACAATAATACATAAATCCACGCAAATGTCTATTATGAAAAGTAAATGGAAATTCAACTCAAATATTTCTTTTTATCTACAAATTTGTGTAATGAATAAAAATTATTTTTTATTAAGAAATATTTTAAAAGTTTTTTGATTCTTTTGAAATTTTGTGTTAAGAAATAGTTCACAACAAAGATTATCGCCAATGCCTCTCCATCAAGTTGACTGTAGTTCATTTCACTCAGATTCAAAGAACGAGACGCGTATAATATCGAACTTTCTACTCCTTCGATTTCATGACTTAGTACAGGAGCAACACCTGTAGGACTAGCAGTTGAATGCGGTTTAGGATGAGGTTTAGGTTAGGGTCAAATGGAATTATCACTCTGTTAATGCAGAGTTCTGATTTGAGTTTTATAAATGCAGATTCACAAGTAGCTGTCCACATCCATGGTTCTGATTTCTTCAGTAGACATCTGAGTGGAAATGTCATTGTAGAAAAATCTGGTACAAATCTTGAGTACCAAACCCAAAAATCTTTTGAGTTCTTTGACGTTGTGTGGACGTTGCATATCTTGAATAGCTTGAACTTTGGATGGAGACTTGCTGATTTTGTTATGTTGAACAACATGACCAAGGTATTCCACTTTTTCAGCCATAAAAGTGTGTTTATTTCTGTTAACATGCAAGTTGTAGTCAGACAGTCGTTGAAGACATGCTTGTAGGTTTTGAAGGCACTCACCGAATGTACGATGATATCGTCAAAATAGGATTGTTTTCTTTAGTCCCATGAGGATTTGAGATATGATCCGATTGAATTCGGCTGGAGCAGTTTTTATTCCAAAACTGAGTCTGTGGATCCTGTATGTACCTCTGTGTGTCGAAATAGTCTTCATCAACTTGCAGGTAAATATGACTGTTATTCATTTTGAAATAACGCCTGGAATACTTTGCAATTGCTCGAATTCGAGCAACAGGTGCACTAGTATAATATAATATAAGGTTAGGATTTAAACAAACATTTTCAATCAGCTGTTAGTACAGGTAAAATAGGGTTTTATAAACAACAACATTTGTACATTCATGAAATTTCACCTGTGAGTTGCTAATAATATGTGAAATGAAGATCCGATGAGTCCCCAAAATTTTGGGCGTCCTAAGGCCCTTTTTGGGGCCCTTTTTGTTCTGAAGGGCCCTTGTTCCTGAATAATTTTGTTTTTACGTTTAAGGTCGAGTGAGGTGTGGTTTTCAATGGTTTTAGTTATTTTAAATCGATTGGGACTAGTTTTGAGTGTATTAAACCACTCCATGTAGGGTGTTTCGAAATATTATTAGTTTTTACGATATTTCAACATTTATTCATAAAGTGATAAAATTAGTTACCTCCATGCTCTATATAAAAGGGGATTATTGAAAATAACTGTAATTCTTTACTATATAAGAGGGAAGGATCAAAAGGAGTAAGAGAAAATATTAAATACCCCCGTCACTGCAAACCTGCAGACTAAGCGAATTTTCATTTGCCCGATTTTCAATTAAATCTAAAATAGCATTGAGTTTAATGAATACTTAGGTTTGCTGCTACAAGGAGGCTAATAAAGTGTGTTTATAGTAAAATATTAATAGCCTAGTATAAAACAAATAAATTTTACAAGTTTTATTAAGACATATCTATATAAACAAACAAGCAAAATCATTTTACACTATTCTACATAAGAATAGCATGGGAATTTTAAATTTACAATTTTAGTATTTTTATCCGTAACTAATAACCATACAAAAACACGTTAATATACTAAATTATTTGTTTTTAAGCTATTTAAAATGTTCTAGAGAAAAATTGGGAAACTTTGTGTTTTGAGGGTAAAGTAAATAAGAAAACCCAATTTTTACCCTATAAACCTCGTTCCCATTGTTCAGGATAAAAATGCTTGTACAGACAATGCTGCTCTGATGTCTTAGTGCTGTCCTGGTCGTCATAACCACGAAAGATAACCGTACTTGTATTGATTGAAAATAAGTTTGAGGAACTTAAGATACAAGTTGCAAACGTCAGTATGTATGAAAGGTATTTTTGAACCACATCGTTCGTGCTTTAAGATTGGTGTTGCCTGTTCTGCAATATGCAAGGTTTGTTAAGGGGAATCCTGCTTGAACACCAACTTGGACAAAATCAGTAAAGATGGACAAGTTGCTAATAATAATAAAAATGTTAACGAGTCGTCTGAGAATAATTATTGTGATGATGAAATTGTAAAGAGAGATACTACGGAAATTGTAGAAAAATAGCTTTAGTTTAAGTACTTCATTTTAATATGTAATGTAAGGTTTTATACAAATACAATTGTTTTAATTTTTAATAAATGTAAAAAAAATAACTTAAATAACTACCTAAGAAAAATAAAAATACATATCAATTTGAAATTGGTTTTAATAGATTTGCATAAAAAACACGTTGAAAGATTATTCACACCACCTTAAAAGTTGAAATTTTTGCTTAGTAACCTATGTTATTATGTTATAGTGTAAAACTTAATCCATCCCCTTTTAGCGAGCATCCCATATAGAAGATAAGCTATTACCGAAGGTTATACCACATATACCACATAGACATTATGGTAAAACATAGACCCGAAACCGATTTACGTTTTAATTTCGATGCCCCCAGAAGCCTAAAGCACCATAATCAAAATATTATATATGTGTTTATATACATATATATATAATATAATATATCCATGTTATATACGTGTCCGTAAATAAGATAACTCGAGTAATTTTGGTTCAATTTTAACGAAACCGGCATAATCGGTCCATGGAACAGGGTGGTAAAAATTTGTAATCTTTGACCCTCAAAAGACAAAGTTTCCCAATTTGTCTCTAGAGCATTTTAAAGAGCTTGAAGAAAATAAATAATTTAGTATATTAACGTGTTTTTTAAGTGTATTAGTTACGAATAAAATTAAAAAATTGTAAATTTAAAATTCCATATTATTCTTAAGGAGAATAGTGTAAAATGATTTTGCTTGTTTGTTTATAGATATGTCTTAATAAAACTTGTCAAATTTATTTGTTTTATACTAGGCTATTAATATTTTACTATAAACACACTTTATTAGCCTCCTTGTAGCAGCAAACCTAAGTATTCATTAAACTCAATGCTATTTTAGATTTAATTGAAAATCGGGCAAATGAAAATTCGCTTAGTCTGCAGGTTTGCTGTGACGGGGGTATTTAATATTTTCTCTTTCTCCTTGTGATCCTTCCCTCTTATATAGTAAAGAATTACAGTTATTTTCAATAATCCCTTTTTATATAGAGCATGGAGGTAACTAATTTTATCACTTTATAAATAAATGTAAACTTTATGAATATTGTAAAAAGTAATAATATTTCGAAACACCCTGTATGGAGTGGTTTAATACACTTAAAACTAGTCCCAATCGATTTAAAATAACTAAAACCATTGAAAACCACACCTCACTCGACCTTAAACGTAAAAACAAAATTATTCGGAAACAAGGGCCCTTCGGAACAAAAAGGGCCCCAAAAAGGGCCTTAGGATGCCCAAAATTTTGGGGACTCATCGAATCTTCATTTATCATATTATTAGTAACTCACAGGTGAAATTTCATGAATGTATACATTTTGTTGTTTATATGGAGTGTTTTTGTATTATTTTACCTGTACTATGTTTTAATTCAAACAAACTGTCATAAAGCAATGTTTAAATGAAAGTATAGGCTATTATAAACGAGTGATTTTCACCATCGAATGTAAAATAAGTTAATGTTTTTTGGATTGTCAGTTTAAAATTTCCATTATAATAAATTGAAATTCCACTAATAGAAGCCAAAATTAGTAAATAAAACGAGAGTTTCCTTTATATTGCTTTTACAATGGAAATAAAATATACTGAGCCATGGCTCTGTCCCGAGGTACTGATTAATTGTAGCTACCAAACGTTGTTTATTAGTCTTGGTTAAACCTTTCAAAAATACAATGTAAGACAACATATTCACACTTTTAATTGCAACACCCTACTCCTTTGCTTAACTTTAATCACTTATCTTGTCATAACCTAAATCTTTTAGCATTTATTTGGTATATATTGTTATATAAACTAGTTGACATCATCTGTATGTTTAACAGGTGACTGAGTGTATGTGTTGCCAAGTGAGTGTGTTCTCCATGTTCAACAGACGGCACCACTGTCGTAGATGTGGTAGAGTCGTGTGTGGTATCTGCTCTCCCCACCGCTTCAAGGTAAGTCACTCCTAGACACTGAACTAGCATTAACCATTTACTAAATTTAGTAGTAATTTTATTTCTCGAATCGATTGATTTGAAAACTGACATCTAAGATGATTATGGTATCCTAAGTGTAATGTGTAAGTTTTACATTGAAATTGTTGGCAGCTTATTTCTTAACCCTTAAGCGCGCGTGCTTGTTTCTTTTAAGCTGGAGCGCGCGCAAAGGTCTAGTGGACCCCCAAATAAATATGGGTATAAAAAAGTTGTTGATATTTAGCTCTTTAAACTTAAGACGTAATATCTATATTCATTTTCTCATATTGCTACGTAAATTTTATGATCCTACCATATCCTTTAATTAGTTTGAAAATAACTAGTTGTTTCCAGTTAATAATATTTAACTATATTTCAATATCATAAAGTCTCAAATCAGCTCCAGGGACGTCGTGGAAAACCATGTGAAGATTAGAAATGTCATCGCCATTTTCTTGTAGCTCTTCTTCAACTTCCCTTATTTAGTTAAATGAATGTAAATAAGGGTTATTACAATCATATAGTGTCTGGTTAAGTAATTTTAACACTTCAATTCTTAGTTCTCTGTTAGCAGAATGATTCATCCTAAACTTATTGGCTTCTGCAGTGTCCATTATATTGGCCAAACGCTGGTATACTACCAGAATCTGCATCTAAAGCACTCATTCGATGGTAAACTGCACCATATATTCTGAAGCAGTAAGCACCTTGCCCAGGTAGAAGAGACATGTTTGCTCTAAAGGAGGCGAAGTACATAGCACTGTTGTAACTTCTTATATTGTCTATGTAATGTTAGTTAGGACTTACAATCAAGTACTATAAATTAGGATAACAATGTGGTGTTACAGTACACTTCCATTATGGCAAGACAGGGATGTTTTATTATTTTCACAAATAAACAGTTTGGCATTGCAGTAAGCACACTCCTCGGTAAGATTTCCCAAGTCAAAATAGTCTGCCGTGAGAGCATCTGTCCGTGCAATATTAAAATAATCACGCTGTCACATGAGATTTCTTTGAATGTCAAAAACCGGCACAAGGACATTTGTTGCGTAATCTTCTTCTAACAACATTTAAACGATTTCTCCCCATGCGATTTATGTTGTAAATATGTCGCCTATCCGCAAACACTGTATTGTTTCTTCTGTGTGGCATGTTATGACAGCTTAATCAAAATTAAAAATTAAAAACACAACACATAAAAATATCTATGAAAACGTTAAACATACCATATCTGAACAAATAAAATCACATAAAATAAAATACAATCACATAATAAAAAAACATTTTTAATCCCTAACACTCTGAATGAAACTGCTCAAATAAACTATCCCATTTCATCAGTCATCGTTGTATTTGAAAGTAAACTGATAAATAAAAAGAAAAAGTAAATATTAAAATGACATAAAAGAAAGCGGTTATTTTTATGAAGACAGATGTTTTTTAAAGAAATGAATCATATGTTTGATAAACTTAACTAAATTTTCACTTATATTTAAAAAATACATGGAAACTTTAAAGTCCGATGGGGCGAAGTACATTAAACTGACCGTGAGAAAAATTATTCCATGACTTCTGCCGATAATTCCCTTTAATTTGAAACATCAATCATCAAAATTGGTTAATAAAAAAAAGAGTTTTGCTGTGCACAAGAAATTCCTTACGGAATTAGAATCTTATACTCAAATCAAATCAAAATCAAATCAAATCAAAATACTTTTATTCCAAAAATTAAACAGTACAATAATAATAGAACAATATATTACATGGAATTATTCCCCCGGATAGACTGTTGATCTGTGATCGGGGGAAGAGTAAACCATTGTTAGGCAATATATAAAGTATTTAAAATTTGTTCGATGCTATTACCTACATCTACTAGAAATTAAAAAAGACAAAGACATAAATTGACATATAAATTGAATATTAGAAAGGAAACCCCTAATTTGATTTAAACAAATACGAAAGTCTATAGTAATACATTCAAAAAAATAATAAAATGGATCCTACTAAACTAGAAGTTACTGAAAATGGTAACAAAAACATGGTTGAATTCTGCATCAGCCGTGGCGAAAACATCTTTTTCAGTTAATGGAAAATAATTATACTGTGTAAACTGACTGTATCAGCCCCTCAGCAGCCGCCCACCCGATACGCGCGAGCCACTCGCCAATCCTAATATTATACTAATATTATAACTAATATTATAAATGTAAAAGATTGTGTTTTTGTTTGTTTGTTTGTTTGAAGTTCAATCATGCATTAACTACTGGACAGATTGGGCTGAAATTTGGCATGATGATAGCTCACATTCCCGATTAACATATAGGCATATTCTTATTTCAAAAATCTTTTCGGTCTCCGCCCCAGTGGCTCTGTAGTTTCCCATGTTTACCTTATGAGTATTCATATTTAAAGGGAACTAGTTGTGTGCCCGTTCTACGTACGGAAATATTGTAGGAAGTTGAAACCTTATATTCAGAACAGGAGTTGGTTTGCATATTTAGTGTGCATTTTTCCAGATATGCTGGCAAAACTATTACCGTATAGGAATTTATATAAAACGAATGCTTCGCAATTAAATGTCACCCGATCGTGTTAGTCCATATTTTATGATAAAAGGAATTGCTTTATTGATCTATGAGGCATAGCCCTAAGGTAGGCCTGTATTTGAATGTTACTTTTCACACTGGTTAAAAGTAGTTAAAATACTACCTCAACCTCACTACTGCATACTTTATTCGGGTTGAAATTTTCTTTAACAAAGGTGCTCTTTTCCACGAATCACTGAGAAATAAGGACATTAATGTTTTACCAACAAACATACACACACACACACACAAATACAGAATTGAATAAGGGGATTTGCTACGCTTTAACCGAAGCAAATTACAAACAAAATAATTAGCCTATTTGAAAGTTTTGATAGTGTCATAAAATTTTATGATAATCTTTTTTAGGCCGAATCAAACTGTAAAATTGGTGTAAATCTGTTGGCAAATATATAAATATAAATAAGTAAATAAATACACAGTCCACAAAACAATTATACGTTAACAACGCCAAGCTTTAAAAATTCATGATGGTTTGCTAAAAAAATCTTTCACTAATGTTTTATAATTTTCTTAGCATAAACTAACCTTTTGAAGTCCAGACAGAAAACGCATAAATTATACAGTAAGACATCAATTAAATTTAATAAGAAATAAGGTGCAGCACTAACGGTACCGGTAACTATAGTTGTAAATAGTGATGTGTTTGCACGTAAAAATGGTCCTTACTGCTACCACCGGTTCTAAGGAATTTTTGGTAGCAGTACCAAAAACCAACGTTTACATTTAAGAAAAGAACTATAGTACTTACGACCAATTCAAACTGCCCTTCCAATCAAACTGTATTATAGGTTTTAATCCGTTGGAAAATATATAAATAAATAAATACACAGGCCACAAAACATGTAACATGTAACGTTAACAACGTAAAGCTTTAAAAAACTCACTATGGTTTGCTCAAAAAAACTTTCACTTGATGTTATTAATCTCCCTTGGTTTTAATTTTTTGTTTGTTTTCGAAAATCAAAGTTATTTCCTATTAATAGTATTATTTTTAAGCAACTTTTAATGTTTACATTTTAATGACAGTTTGAAGAAACTACCTTTATCCAAACAAAGGTTTCTTATTTAAAAGATTACGTAATCTCTAAACGATAATCAGTACATATATCTAGCAAACATTCGGAGCAAATGTGACAAAAAACGCACAAATCTGGGGTTTTGGACGTTTGTAGTTTTACTTCCTAAGTAGAAAAAGTACCGATATCTTGTCGAAATGTAAGTAAGTAGAAACCAAAAGTGACACATTGGAAAAGCGAGTTAAGCTACATCTGTAAGTTAAACCTCTGTTACGATCACAGCGAAATCAGAAAGATCTTCCAAGATCGCAGCAACATCCACGATCACCCTCTGCAGTTGTGATTGTTTACTTTGCACTTAACACAACTGTCCTTGAAGCGCCGTCAATGAGTGGAATGGAAACCTTTTTTGTAAGCTATTGGTGACGATGATTAATAAAATGTAAGTTTCCCAGCACTAATACAACACAGATTCACTGTATTTACCCCGGTTATCAAAACTCAAGAACAATAGTTGCACTTGCGATTAATTAAACCGGTTAAGTAAAGCACAACGTTTTTAATCTCACTTGGGATGTGCTAACAAAACTTGATCGGAAATGGTTGCGGTATTTGTAAACAAATTTTAATGTTAACATATCAGTGACAGCTAGAAGTGAGAACTAATCCAAACAGCTGATCGTTATTTCATAAAACGTAATAGTAAACATTGGGAGATAATTTGACAAAAATCGAACAAAATTGGATTTTTGATGGTCCGTTATTTTGTTTTCAAAGAAGTGAGGCTATGTTTTTATAGCCAAAGACACTCTCACCAATCCAGTAAATACAGAAAAATGATTAGAACCTTGATCGGTACTCTAGTTTTCTAGGAGTAGGCCGCGTAAAATGACATTTTGGTGTTACAGACGGAATCACAGAATGGACAAACAGACAAACAGACAGACAGACAGAAATTGAGATAAGACTCGTTTCGGCTTTCTTAGGCTATGAAACGTAAAAATAACCAAAAACTGCATGATTCTAAGCAATGTACAGACAAAACTGTAATTTTATTTATATAGATTAAAGAATTTAGTCAGCTGTTTCAACTAAAAAAGTTGGTTCTATTATATGCAAAAGCATTAAAAAATTTTAAGATTTACCAACAGGATGCAGCACTTTTTTTTTTTTTTTGCATTTATGAATACAGCTAATTTGAACTAAGTAGCAAAAAAAAAACTGTGATACGCAGTGAGAACTGTCAAAGTAGGATTCTTTACATTTATGTTTATGCTTTTAATTTCATGAATAATTTGTGATATTTTACAAATTTTTTTATATTTTTTTTCTCTATTGTTTAGGTAAA